AAGACCCATGAATATAAACAAAAGAATAACGAACTGTGATATAGAAGGATCAAGGAGTGCATTTTGCACGCGTTTCTCCCCACCCCACATAACACGAAAAGACGAAAAAAGTTTTCATTTCAATATCTCTAATGCTTTAAAAGTTGTAACAACTTGTCACTCAACTGCGGAATCGATACACAGCTGTCTACACTTATAATTAGAAAATTGCTACCTAGATAACGCTTCAATTCCTCGAAATAACGAATTCTCAATAAAGCACTGTATTCGCACTGTATGAACAATGAACTGTATCACTTAAGACAGGCTAGCGTTTTACAAAACTTCGACTTTGGAATTCGTGGCTCATAAAGCCAATGAATAAATACATTGATGCAATGGAAGATGTAACATTTCGTTACTTGTTAATAGAATGAAAGATTTTATAATTATAACATATGAGTTTTATCACTCAATGAATCATTAATATGACGAATATTATAATCAAAATAATATAGATGGCATTAATATATTTTGATTAATATAACGAATAGACTACGTTCAAGTATGTAAATAAATAAGTTAGTCGCATCATTTTAAATATGTTAAGTGGAAAATATAATTTTGTAAGAATATAATATAAAAATGGAACGAATCCTACCAAAAAAGATGTCGATATATCCATATTGTTCAGGAACAACGATACTTCAAAATAATCTGTGCAAACAGATTTAATAAATCTGCAAATAAATTTAGCTAGAACGCATTGTTCTTTGTCTTGACAGGAATGCGAAAAAAGTGGATCAGAACAAATCAGATATTGAATTCTATTCGTTGTGGCAGTTACACACACACATGGACAGTACAAATAACACTTTGTTGCTATCGAACAAAAACGATAAAAGTTGTTGTGTATACTCTTTAATTTTCAATACAAAATATTTCTTGATAAAAATAGTAAAAAGCATTAAAGAAATAACGTCGAACTTACAAAATAAAAATATAAAGAGTTATGTTATAATTATACTAAAGTAGCAAGGAAAATGCTACTTATCCAGTAGGAGGATTACATTCATCACATGTAGTGTTCACAGTCATCATGCCAGGATTAATAATCGGTATACCTGTTCCTAGCATGCCAGTTTCCATTCCAACGCCCATTAATTCCCCTCCTAACATTCCCCCACCAATTGCTCCGCCACCATATATACCTCCTATCCCTGTTCCAAATCCTATTCCTCCGACCCCTAATGAACCATATCCGCCACTCTATAATAAACAATGAAAATATTATTATACTAATAAATCTTGAACTGTGTAAATTAATATTGAATTACACGTTTCCACTGCATATCTATGAAGTATATGTAGATATAACAATATACATACATACAACATACATATTTAAAAATTGTTTAAATAAAAATAATATTACTAAATTAGTATATTATACAATAATATAAGGATAAGTTGATTAAACTATATGTCTCAGAGCCCATCGTACACGCTCTAAAACGCAATAACTTCTTAAAAACTGAACTAAACGATTCGAATTCTTTTTATGTGATACAGGGACTAGTCTACTAGGCGATAATTAAAAAACTTGCTTTTAATTTTGTTATTACTTGGAATGAAAAGAAAAAATTAAAAAAACCTGCGTTTTTTAGCTTTTTTATCTGAACCTATAACGACAATTTAAAAAATGCCTTTTGTAGATTTCGGTAAGTTATATGCTTCCTGAATATTTGCTCGGAATTGGTTAACCCAGAGTTCACACTGAAGAAAAGTTCAGATTTTCCGATTTAGACCTTTTTCATGTTTTAACTACGAAAATTTCACAAATATTTCGTGCAGAAAACGATTCTATAGGCATCCCCAAATAAAAGGATATATAGTTATACATAATTTTTGTAAGGAAGTTTGAAATATCTTTATAGCAAGCATGACACATTTCGCATAGTTTCGACGAGATTTTTCAACATCTTTTTAATCGAGCATATATAATTTCAAAATTTAAACTTGCGAAAATATTTTACATCCTTAAAATTAAATAATCAAGTTGAATAATCAAGTCAATCAAATCAAGTTCTGCGAGACACATTGCCGTGAGTGTTGCAGTTGGAGCATAAAAAAATGTATCAAATTGAAAATTGATTTTATTTTTTATTGATTTTAAATTATGGAAACGAGTGACACCATTGTACCAAAATTATGAAAAATCGCACGAGAGAGTATTTAACCTGTAAGTAAAATTATGATAAAGTGTTTAAACTTACTGGAATGCAGGGCCATTGAGTCTGATACTGGCATATTGGATATGAAGGCCGACAGTAACATGGGATCCAAGTGATATAATAACATGGACAATGGGATTTAACTATTAAACAAAATATTGAACATAGTATATTTGGCGCGCAACGTGATTAATTTTAATAATATGAGAGAAATAATTTATTACTCACCAGGTGGTGTAGTATTGTGATTGTAGTGGTTATGAATGTGGACATGAGTGGTTAAATTGAGGGTTACTGGTCCAAGACCATCCTTGCTGCCAACTTTCGAACAGTTCCCGTGAATGCATTCTGTTATATATTCGGTTTCAGTGATATTAATTGTACGATGCTTTTGTCTTTTCACGCAATGTTTGCAAATTTCTACACACGTGAACCTTTTTTCCCTTACACAATCCTGTATACACGGCTCCATGCAGCTGTCATCTTAATAAAACATATATATTAACACTATTTTTATCGATCTATCGTATACATACTTATTTTTACTGAATTAATTCTATAGTCGTTATAGAAAAATTCTCATTGTAAACTCAATTGAGGAAAAGTTTATAGGAACAAAAATCTCAGATGGACACGTCATCCTTCTTTTCAGTACTGGTGCAACTAAGATAGTAAATCAAATATTATTGTGCAATCTAATAATTTCAAGAAAGAATAAATACATATTTATCCCATTTTATCCCACGTAAAGTAATGTAGTAAAAACACAATATTTACAACTTAGCGTGAGATAAATGAGCAGGATTGTATCTGAAAATACGGTTTAAGGATTATAGAATCTAATACTATACATACCCGTCATTAATGTTTTAGGTTTATGTTCAATAGAACATCGAAACTTCCGTACCGCTTCAAACGATATAACTTAAAGAATTAAAGTATGCATGGATTTATACTTGACCGCAAAATAACGCGAGGACCGTTTGGTCTAATGCCACGTGAAACCAACTTATTCGCAATTCGTATCGAAAAAAAATTCTGCTGTTCTGTTTTATTTTACTATCCCCTAATGTTTTTTACAGAATGATATTTAATGCAAAGATATCTAACAAATAATTCTATATGTTTCTATTTGAAAAGTTCTTGCAGCACGAGGCTATTTCAAAAGTAGGTGCAAAATGATAATATTCAAAATTAGCGTCTAATTTTATTAAAGTAAAAACTCAATACGATTCTAATTTCCTTAGCATTCAATATAATTCTAATTTGACAATGAAGGCGATGAAATAAAATATAAAATTCTGGCTATAATCGAATTGTATTAATTTGCATTTTCAATTAGAATCATGTGTCACGTACTTTTCAAGTAGCGTCGCATAGAGAACGTGTACACATAGGAATGGAAACTTATACAATTACTGTGTTAATATAGACTTCAATAAAATTATCCCCTGAAGTAGCATCGTATGAATAGAAGCCATAGATACATTCGTACTATATTAATCTAAAAAAACGCAAGTTTAATTACCTGGCGTAAAAGATACCACACGCACTAATGCTACAAAAACGTGTGCGCTCGCTCGAAAAACAATGCACACATACTGTTCAACAAATTTTCACTTTTATTAGATTTTCTAATATCCAATGGATGATCCTTGTAGAATGTCACTTTCCTAAACACTAATCAATTTTCGAAAAATTCGAATTTTCGTAAAGACATCCAATTTTTAACAAAAATATGATATTACGTGAAAACTAAAAACGTTAGGAAGATCCAATTCATCTCGAAAGATAGAGGAGAGATTCCTGAACATGTCAATATCGATATTTGTAACATTTTATGCTTCCAAGTACTGTCAATCGACCGTCAAAGTTTAAAAATATGCCGAGGAACGTACTTTCTACGCAATATATTTGTATATTTCCGTAAATTTCTCGTACCTGACAGGAAAACTGATCACTGCATCTGATTCAATAGACATTTCTCGAGAAGAAACTATCGAGGAAAAGTGTCCAAGCGGTTTTACATTCGTACAGGTCGAATCGAGACATTACTAAGAATCGTATCAATTACTTTTACGGGGAATGCATTAATTACTTTACACAGGGAACGCTTTCGAAAATAGAAAAAACATCACGGGAAAAATACACCACTTCTGCTGTTGAGATTAAAAATAATTAATACGATTTTCAATAATTTCATGATTACTATACAACACTTCATGAAAAAATCCTTCGTTATTGCATGCATTAGACGAGTAACATATCGGGTGGCAATAGCGGTACCAATTATGCGTAGCTACGGTACTGTTACCAAGGGGGCTCTACGGTAGTGGAAATCACTTTTGAAACGGTAGTAAGTACAAGCTATTACAGTACACATGTGTATCTAGAATCCAAAAGTCCTAATACTACAATGAGCCTTTGTTTTCGAAATATTTTGATGAAAAGTTTCGTCCGCATCTAGTAAATGAATTATAGCAGAACTAGTATATTAGCAGAACAAGTTGTTTGATGTTTTAGCTGAACTTCTATTTTCTATATTATAAATTTATGTTTCTGTTTTACAATTAATATTGATGTTATATATGATTAATATTAAATGCAAAAATAAATAAAATATTGTTCCATTTCGAATTTGTGTTGAAAAATTTGTTTAAGATAGTAACAACAGCGGAGGATTGACTTTCTAGTCAACCGCTCTATCGTCTTACCCACAACTTGTTTTGCTAAAGAATGTCAAATAATTCATTTACTAGGTAAATATCTCGAAAATGAAAGCCCATTGTGAAGAAAAGTATTAAGGTTATTTGATACTAGGTACTGTGGCCCACAAAAGTGTGCGTGCACCTTTTAAAACGCAATAACTTTTTTGAAACTGGACTAAATGATTTGAATTTTGTTTTAGATGATAAACGGACTAGTATGCTAGACAATGACCAAAATGTCTTTTTTAAATTTTGCTATTATTTAGGATAATACAAAAAATATAAAATTCTCGTTTTTAACTTTTTTATCTGAGCTTGTAACAAAAATTTAAAAAATGCCTCTCGTAGATCTCGGTAATATATGCATGTTGAAAAAGATTCTTACAGTTTTTGATCAAAATCGTGACAAAACTGCGATTTTTGCCATCTTTAATTTGCTGTAACTCGAGGCAACGTCAATCGATTTCGATAAAATTTTCAGCATGCATATAAGTTACCGAGATCTACGAAAGACGTGTTTCAAATTTTTAAAGTTAACTTTTTAACTTCTACAGAATCATTTTCGTAAATATACAAATATATTGTGTAGAAAATAACCTCGACATTTTTTTAAACATTGACGGTCCGTACAGTACTTAGAACCATAAAATATTAAAATGTCAATGTTGACATGTTCGGGAATCTCTCCTCGAATTGGATCTTCCTAATCTCTCTTAGTTTTCACGTAATATCTTATTTTTGTTGAAAATTTGGACGTCTTTACGAAAATTCGAATTTTTCGAAAACTGAGGAGGTTTCACAATTTCGTTTTCAGATTCGTATTTGAGAAGTGACGCTATACAAAAATCGCCCATTGGATATTACAAAAAATATCATGTCAAACAGTGTAATCATCAGTAGGCTAATTTGAATCGTAATCACTTTGTCCTCGATTGTTCGGATAAAGCGTTCACAATTAATTAAGATCCAGCTATCCAAATGTGAAATATATGTATATGCTAAAAAATGCGTGAATATTATACCAAACCTATTATATGATCATTGTCATGTGGGTGTCTCTTATGTCTTTTCAGGCACTGTATATAGGTCCGATAATCCGAGTGCTTGCAGTCTAAAATGATACTTTCTGCGTCGAACGAAGATTCTTCAGAGGGTACAACTGGATTAGTGTCAACAAAAGTCACGAGAACTACAAAACTGACTAATACCACAGCTACAGATGCCGACCGAGGATCCATCTCTAAACCTTTGACGAAATAATCGTCCAGCGCAACGCGAGCATCCCTTTATACCTATTTTATCTTTCGTTAGATAAATAACTTGTAGAAAAATCGGAAACTTTCAAGTGATGCTAGACGCCATTTAGTTCTGCGATAACAGGGACATTGCACTCAAGGCTAATATTTTAGCGCGCAATGTTTCACCGCTATTCTGCGGCTAGGATAAATTTGCACTACTTATCGGACACCACTCCCTTAGAACGGAACTGAAGACACGGTTACCTATGTCTGGCGTGGCAAAGGTTTCTGACCCTTTTCTAACGCTGGCAAGTGCTAGGAACTAGATACATCAGATAGTAAGAAAAGTTCATCATGTTCAGCGCATGGAAACATTTCAGTCGCGAATTATACAGGGTATCCTATGCAACGGAGGCAAGCTATATCTTTAAACTGCATAAAGATTAGAGATCTCTATTTCACGTGTATCTTATTTCCACGCGTACACGTGTAATTAATTCGACGAAATTTTCAGCATACATATAAGTTACCATGATCTGCAAAAAATACATTTTTAAAAATTTTTAAAAATTTTCGTTACGGGCTTAGATCAAATCATTTTTTAATTTTTTTATTATTCCAATCAATTGTGATTTAAAAAACTTTTGGTATATTCATTTCATAAAAAATTGGTCTAACATCTCAAAAATATTCAAATTTTGAATATTTGAACCAATTTTAACACGTTGCAAGCAAAAAAAATTTACAAAAAACTGTAACGTATTGTCCTGAGTGTCCAGAGTCACCCCAATTATATTTACAAGTACATATTACAAGTTCTGTTGCAGTTAGATCTTGGAAAAAGGATAGACAGTGAGGAGAATATCCTAATTTTGCAACGATTTATTATCGTTTCTTCGAAATCATAATGTGGTTTATTGGTCGTTTTAATAAGATAACGCGGTTGTACCCGCTAGTGAAAAGATCATGACATAGTGTCCGACAAACACAATTAGCATTATCAAATGTGCGTTCACTAGATCAGAATCAGGTGAAAAATATCTAAGCCATAATTGTGAGGAATGTTAATGCTGGAAGTTGAATCATTTCAGAATTAGAAGGTTCTACATAATCACGGCGAGTAGTGAAATTGGCGAAGGAATTTTTCAAAAACTCACTCATCCATTATTTTGGATATATTTTTCATGACAATGTATGTATGCTTATACAATTTATTTATAAGATAAGTATAATACTTTTATATAAATGTATTAAAGTTTTCTGAATAATAATAATAATGATTTATTATAATGCAAATATATTCTATAATAAATCAGTATTTATTACTATGAATCCATCCAATAACAAATAATTTAATAATAAATTATCTACGAATAAGTATATATATATATATAGATAAACATTTTAATAAAATGTAATTATATATAGTTCGGGTGGAGTGTTTCATGCAGCTAAGGAGTGTCCAAGATCACCCGTCTATCCTTTTAAAAAAGAGGAGTGATTTTAAGAATTAACAAATTATGACAAGCTCATTAAATGTTTTCTAATCAATTGGTAATATTAGTTTAAATTAGAAGTCGAGATCTCTAAATGGATCAGTCTGTTATCCTTTTGTATTTTAAAAAGTTTATTTTTAAATGATTTTTCAACAGCGAATAATTTGATGGAGAAAATACAATTTGCACTAATAATTATAATAGATGTTAGCATTTCTTACAATTCGGGTCACAGTCCCGTATAGTAATCGTTGAAAATAATTTTAATCGTTGCACATACGGTATAATGATGGCGACGAGAATAATAATGATACGTATCTGTGCCCTATTTTTAAGGAGGCACGTATATTTTCTCATGAACATTCAAGAGATTGGCATACATAGTTGTAAACGACAATTTAAAGTTAGAGGTTAAAATCAGTAGAGGCAAATAACTCCACAATAATCCCATCATATTTCAAAACTAAAGTGTCTTAGCCTTATCGCGACACAGTAATATCCATATCAACATGCTAATTTCGTCAAAAACATATCCCGTTGCAACTATAAAACATAATTTCACATAAACATCATTGTCAAATATTAGAACTCTTTTTATCATTAAACTTTCTTGATACTCTGTATACTTTTTCAACGCTGATACTTTATTAAACTCGAATTGTTATTTGATCACTAGTGTGTTTAACTGCATTTGAAAAGTTCTTGAGACGTAATTAGAAGAAAATGAAGAAGAATACCTAATTATTCCTAGATAATCATTACTAATTATTCCCTCTAATATTCTGTCAATCGTTTAGGAAATCGATAGTAATTCATTTTTTGTTAAATATCATTTTATTTAGGTGAAGAAAAATGAAATACGAAATACTTGAGTTGTAAAACTGATTCTACTAAGCCTATCTATTTTAATCCGTAAAATACCTTACCGTTAACGATTAGCCTCATTTTGTGTACTACCATTTGATCATCACGAGTATTTCCGTTGTCAATATTAACATCGTGTGCTCTCCTTTGACCTTTATTTAACACCTATATTACCGATCTTTCATAAATTTTTACGAAATTCATTTCATAATTATTACAGAAAAAGTTGAAAAGTTAGTTCAGGAAAAATGATTGAACTTAGAAAATAATTTTAGATATTTTCGAAAGGTCCCTTTTTACTTCTCTATAATGATGCAGAATACATATCTCATGGTGACAACTATAAAACTGATAATGATGGAGGAAACTGGGTCCGATGTGGGTTCATTACTTTTAATAAGGATACAAAAACTTTAGTGTTTAAATGCATGATGCACTTGTATGACACACTCTCGCATAAAGGACGGAGAATATAATATAATACAATAGAAATAAAAGAAAAGAAATAAAAAACATTTGCTTACTTCTCATAGCAAAAGTTAAATTTGTGTTTTTATTACTTTACAAATCTTGATTTGTTGTTACAAGTCTTGACCTTTTTATTACAATTTCCAAATAATTAAATTATTGCACACTGAATTTGTAATATACATATGTATACATGTGTATGTATTAATTTAATCGTATTCTAACATCTGCCTCAGCAACCAAAATATATTATTCTATGTTTGATAAGTAGACTGCAGATCTTTGTGCAAAATAAAAATTGTCTGCATCTACTTTTGCAGTAGAGTGCTTTTGAGCAGGAAGTTTCATTCGTCCTTTAAGAATTTTAGATTGCAATACATCGACATTGTGGAATGCTTGTAATATTTTTACTGCTTCAAATTGTGTATACTCATTTTTGCATGAAATCCGCTGTTTTTACTGATATGATCAAATAATATAATAATGAAATAATTTAATTCATACAATTAAATATACTCGATGATATATATTTTTATATAATTCTCGATGCCACAATTTAGTTTACAAAAATAAAAATTTGTATAATTATGGAACAAATGGAACAATAAATTGTTTCAAATGTGTTACTAAAGAAATTTATTGAAGAAAAAATTCAATACTCGGCGGATACTTCTTGCGGTTCGGTTCGTTCGAATTAGAATAACATTTTGGTGGCAAAACTAATTAAGAAAGAAGACAGGATCTCAGTTCTTGTGACGTGAGCACGGCGCAAAAGTAACGGGCACCGAGGTAGCGAGAACAGCACGCTGCGCTTTCAACGCAATGGTTTCTTATCGGACCGGTATTATACACCGGGTGTCTCAGAGATACGATAATTTTTAAATAGGCTTTTTGACAACAAGTAGAAGAGAATTTAGCTCTGTGTACTGAGAAAATTTTCTCAGATCACCTATCAATAAATCGTGCATATTTATTAACGATCTAGTAAATAATGCTATATTTATTTATTACTATTAAATATTTAATAATAATAAAATAATAAAATAATATAAATAATAAAAATATAAAATAATAAATTTAATAATAATTTAATGTTATTATCATACATATCCGACGTGCAGTCATCAGAGTGTAAAGGATTAAGTTATCAATAATTAATGTTCAACAGTAATGGCTCGTGAGCTAGCTCTCTGTCTTTGTCTCTATCTCATTAGTACTTGTCTGTCATTTACACTTATTCGAATTGTAAAGACATATTTATGGGGTATTTATTCGATATACAGGGTGTTTCATAATTCATGATACAAATTGGGTCAAGTTGATTCTATGGCTGGGGCTTCGTTTTCGAGAAAATTGAATTCAAGTATCAATAGAGTATGCGTGAACTTACTTAATATCCAGTCATTAGAGACCGCTAATACGATCGTCTGCATACATGATACAATGTCAGGGCTTGTTTACTATCAGGATGCGATTGAAGAATAACATTAAACACAGGATACTAAAATAATCAATATATTTTTCATTGAATTTAGTTAATTATCTTCCATCAAAATCTTGTTCAAAATCCATGTATTCAACTGATATTTAAATTTGACTTCTTTGAAAACAAAGCCCAATTTGTACCATAAATTATAAAACACTGTTTCATTTGGAATATATTATAACCAAAATCGCTAAAAATTTGAATAAATATGTTAAATTAAATAAATAAAAGATAATAAAATGTAAACAGCTACTTTTGGTGCTCCGTAGTAGACTAGGTTACTCTATCATCTAAAAAAAAAAAAATTCAAATCAATTCTAGTTTTAAAAAACTTACTGCGTATGCTTCTAAAAATATACTGCAGGAGTATTTTTTTCAAATTGTAAGAATTTCAAAGCTATAAATCTTTGAAATACGTATACAACAATACGTACATACTTTCGTAGAAAGAAAATGTACAAAAAAAACATTGAATACATATTCTCGAAATCTTAAGCGTTCCAAATGCCAAAAATGAGAAAGAAGCTAAAAAATAACATTTGGACATCGATGAATCGCTATTTTGATATATTATAAAATATTTTATTCATTTTTGTAGAGAGATGAAGGGCAAAAGGGTTGAAGTCATGTAATGATACGTTTCTTTGAAAGACCTCGTTCAAAGAAATGCAATTCCAAGAATTTTTAATATTTTGCTTTAAGATA